ATAATATACTTATTCTTTCATTTTTTCTGCTATACTTGTAGGTTGGGTACAATCTATAGCATTATGCTTTTCCCAGGTCATTTCGATTCCTGCTCAACTTCTCATACCTCGTGCTGGATTTTTCAAGGTTATCGTATCTGGGACATTTATGTGTGCTACTGGCTTACTTATGTCTTCGTTCGTACCATCCTTTACCTACTTCTACCTCACGTACGGCTTTTGCTTTGGCATAGCAGCCGGAATGGCAACTAAGCCGACAACGCATCTTGTTTTAGAATGGGTGCCGATTCAGTATCGAATGAGAGGAACGGCCATATGCACATGTGGCGGAAGTTTCGGTAAGTGTATTTGCATTACGGTATTTTAGGCCTAAGTGTTTTAGTCGTGGAATTTAGTATTCTCAGAGTACAAGATGGAGCTTTAAAATGATTAACATTTATAGCTACATATGAGTAGACAATGGGTCAAGACGACAACATACATCATTAAGGTATCTGCCTAGCACTGTAAACAGAATAATAAACACAAAAACACATAAACACATTATTGTGAACGAGCAGTTGCAGGTTGGAATTTTACTATGCTTCATACGATTATAACATTCCAGCACTGTTATTATTTTGGTGCAAGGATGGTTAACATCAATACCATCCAGTTAACCTCTCCTCCTAGGTGGTGCACCCTGGGCAAAGGAGAGTACCGGTAACGCCTCTCTGGCAAACGAGGAAATGGCTAAAGGAAGGAAAACCCCGGAAATAAACCACGATGGGTAGGCTAATCCCATGCTCATTCGTTAAATCGGATACCAGAAAAAACAAAAACAAAAAACAAAAACAAAAACTTACATGACTTTGGAGATGAAAGCAACTACCCTCGATGTTGTGGCAGTAATGAAGCAAGATTGTGAAAGCCGCGAGGAAACTATGTTGCCGAACCTTTTGTCGCCCAGGACAAAATCCTTTATAGGAAAGTCGAAGTACGGTGTACTATGTACGAAGCTGGTAAGGCAGCAATTATTGCAAAAGAGATGAGAAACTACAATATTTGTTTGCTTTGAATTAAGTGAAAGAAAGCGAACATATTTTATTCTGTGGACACACATCCAAGAATACACATAATACTGAAGGGGAGCGCTTATGTTACCCAAGGAAGCAAAGAAAGCATTCATTATCTTTCTGAACCAGTAAGCTCAAGGATAAACTGCAAATTTTAAAACAAGTCACAGACGGATCCTAATAAAAACGATGAAAAAATATTAATGATAAAAAATTCTATAACCAACTACAGAGCATTTTGAAAAAAAAGTAAATAAAAAATCACAGTGTTAATGGGCGACATGAATGCCAAGCTGGGAGGTGACAACAAAACTTGTGAAAGGCAATAGGTGCCGTGAATGAAAATGGAGAACGCTTTACTAAATTTATGTAATGAGAATGACATTGTAATAGGGGAATCACTATTTCTGCTTAAGAAGGTGCACAAAGTGACATGGGTCTCACCAGCCCATACCAAACCAAACCAGATAGATCATATTAC